AAAGGAAGATGAAACAGAGAGCAAATTCAAAACACACTCAGGGTCTCTCTATTTCTCTCTAATTCCTCTCATCTTCATGAAGAGTCTTCTCAAAGAAGGGCAGCTTCTTGTTCAGTCCTTGTCCAAGAGAGGATTGCAGCGCTATGAGTATTTAGAAATTCCAAGCACATATTCTGGCACTGCGCAATCAAGTCGAGGTGTGACACCGTACCGACAGCTGTCAACAGTGTATAAATAAGCTTGTGGCAAAGAGAACAGTGCTGGAAGAATTGAAGGTTTTATAACATTAATGTACCTGATCCGCACGCAGCCATCGTGTACTATCAGAAAAAACAGGGGGAAGGAGAAGGGAAAAACAGAACTAAGATGAAAACAAAGATGAAAAAACGGACAGAGGCACAAGGAGGCCAGGGATAGCTGAGTGAGCACCTCTTGCACAACTATCTCCCACTACCAAAGGTAGCTTGTGCCGACCGACAACAGATTCATGTTCACGAAAAACAAAACAGGGGAAATTTCATAGTAAGACCAGACCACAGTCATAGACATAGGGGCAGCAGTTCATTCGTATCAGTTAGATAACATAAGAACAAATGTCAGATAAATATATTTACTTAGACTTACTCAATTAGTTGCAAGGATTCTAGTACTCTAGGGCGCAAACTAGGACTCTAGTGCCACTAGTTGCAAGAATTCTAGTACCACTAGGGCGCAAACTAGGATTCTAGTACCACTAGTTGCAAGGATTCTAGTACCACTACGGCCTTGCAGGACGCAAATGCAAAGAAAGCTAATGCGTAAATCTTGATCTTCTACTTTGTACTCCCACTAATCATCTTCATCTACTTCTTACTGCTTCTACTAATCGCCTCCGCTACAAGGGCTTCTTGATCTTGCTTTGTACTGCAGAGACGAGCACTCACATATGCTATCGCGGCTTCAATCGATTAAAACTTCCCCGCCCACTTTTCCAACTGGTTTGGAAATTTTCTCCCCTGCATGTCCGCACTCCCGTACAAAAAATCCACCAAAAGCTGGGTGAACAACTGCGCAAAGTCGTGGGCCGTGGACAACTTCGTGGTCCACGCTCTTCTGCTGAGCCTACTTGTACTTTCCTGTTGTAGTGCGAGATAATGCTCCACGCGATTTCTCATCCAGATCAGATCTCTTTGCGCCATGCTGGAGCTTTTTTCTCCCTGTTCATCTTGCAGTGCCAAAACTTCCTCATGAAGTTTCTCCAGCATCCGACCCAACAACGTACTCGCCTGCTGCGCGACCGTCTGCGGCCTGTCGCCCTGACACAAGCGGACCTCTCTGTGCAATTTAGAGCTTCCCTCAATTTATTTCTGACTAACCCCTGTAGGGATGCGGATGCTGTTGTTCTTGAGGGATATCTTCTCCCTATACATAATTTCAAGATTTATGAAGTAGAAGCTATCAGTTATTAGCAAGAGATGGTGCTATAAGTTATTAGCAAGCGAATCCATGCGTGCTGTAAATTATTAGCAAGAGATGGTGGACTAGGGGAGGCCTTAAGCAGTGGCTTCAACTTATCGAACACCAAACGCAATGCCATTTGGTTCCGCATTGCCACTTCTTGCATCATTTCTGCAACCAGCTTCTCTCGGGAGCGAGCGAGGGAAGTTGTGGGAACGGGGGAACTTACTCCCTCGTCCTTCTCACGTACCTCGAGATTCTTCATCTCGAGTGCCTCGTCAAGGCTTTTTTTCTCGGAGTCGAGTTCCTTGCGTCTTTGTCGAAGCTTTTCCATCTCTTGCACAACGTCCGCGAGTGTCTGTGCCAGCGGATGCTCAGTCCGCATTTGAGCGGCGCCTCCATCTGAAGCTGCTTTTGGTACAAGTTTTGCCTCCGTTTGAATTTTCTGCGCTTCCAAGTGTAGTTCTTCGCGTTTTTTTTCCAGCGCTTGTAATTTCTCTCTGACTTCTTCCTTCTCCATTTCGATTTTGAGCTCATTCGCAGCATCTTTCGCGGATTGTAACGCAGTCTTCTCCAAATTTTTTTGAATAAGTTCCGCAGTTTTCCTTGCTTTTTCATAGAGGTTGCGCTTCGACAACATTAACTTCAGTTGATACTCGTTTTCTTGCGGGTCGTCGGTCAGCGCGCAATAGAGTCGATGGCTGTGGGAAAGAAACTTATTGTTATTCTGGCAGGCAAAAAGTCCGGTCGCTCGTTTCGCCCACTCGTCCCGCTTCTCCGCGCTGACGGTCGCAAGCTCTTCGGCCGTTCGCATGCCCCAAGAAACAAGCGCTTGAAACAGTCGATGCTTATGCAAAACTTTTGCTGCAGTGTCCTCTGTGGCCAGTGGCATCTCCAGCCTGGCACTCGTTTCCTCGATGCTTCTCGCTCCTAGCAAGTCCGGCAACGTGTCCGTTAACATTTTTGCGTCATCCTCAGTCCACGCGTTCACCGCCTGTCCGTAGGGAAGCATATGCAGTCCGACCCTCATCGCGGGACAAACTTTCGCCCAAATTTCCGGGGTGTAATTTGGCTTGTGGAAATGCCGTCCGATGTCATCCATGACGACTGGCTCTTTCGTGCCTTCGACGAAGACCGGCTCTTGCATAGCAGGGCCGGGTGTCTTGGCGCACAGTCCATCCCGAAAATGCGCGGTGGGGTGTTGCGTCTCTGGGATCGGGTCCTCGTCAAAAAGTGAGGGTGGTAGAATCACCCCGTTTTCTTGTTCAAATTCTTCAATCGTGTATTTCTGCGCCACCATGTAGCTCGCATTCTTCCTCTGATCAGCACGCGCACGACCATCCGATCCATTGCCTCTCTGAAACAGCTTCCTAGTAGCACTACTCCTGTGGCCCATCGCTATCTTGTCCGCGACTAGGCGGGATCTGTTCCTTTGTAATGTTTCCTCAGATTTCTTTTTTGCGTCTGCAGCGTTTTGCCGCTCTTCTCTCGAGTTGAATAGGTTGCCAACTCGTCTGCTTTTGTCTGATATTTCGTTCTTTTCAATTGCTTGCTCAATCTCGTTCAGCAATTCCAAATCGTTTTCACCTGTTGCTTTTGCCAGTAAAAGCGCTTGCTCCCAGATCAGTTTGGATTTTCTCTCATCCTTCCCCGTCTTTCGGGGCTTGCCCAGCCCAGAACGACGCTCGTTTGAACTGGCAACGCTGGCACCTCCTTCTTCTCCGCTAATGGGCAAAGCCACCTCCTCGCCAGTCTCTTCTCCACTAGTGCTAGGCTCGTCTTCTCCACTGGGTCGCAATACGTCAAATTGAAATTGCAAAGAATGGGAAGCGCCGCCACCGCCAGCACGACCACCTGCTCCTTGTTTTATAATTTCTCTTTCTTTATTTCTCAACCCCTTTTGCTTGTCCAACAAAGTTTTGACGGCACCGCGAAATATTCTTTCCGCCGTGGTCACCAGCTCGTTTGTTTGTTCCATCTCCTCTAGGAAGCGCGCTTCTAGGAAGTTCGAGTAAGCGACTTCGTGCTTTTCATACTCCTCTTCGCCCTTCTTATGTCCGTAGAGTAGCTCCATACAGTTGTCAGCATCGAATTTCCTCCTCGCGTCAGAGATGCACTTCTTTCCAGCTTTGAAGGCCGATACAATCTTAGCGCGGATAGAAATTTTTCACTATTATGCCAGGTTCCATCTTGAGTGCTGTAAAAATGCGTTGCGTTCTTGCCCTTAGAAGTTTCCCCTTGATTGACGACCCCTAAGAGGAAAAATAACCTACTTACTTAGCATAGCCCACATAGGCAGATAGTGATCAACTTCGAGCCTTAACAAACAGTCCCAGCTTTGTTTCTCTCCTTCTGCGACCAGGCGAACCGACGTCCGCAGCCATGACGGTATTCCAAAGCCACGTCTCCGCGGACAAGTCGGTGCTTTCTGTGACTGAAAGCGTCAATAGACCAAGTTCACCTACGCTGTTGACGACTTTTGCCTGCAGGTGGTCTTCAACAGCTGCTCCTGCTGCATCATAGTTCATCTTGGCAGCTCCGATGTCGGGATCGGAGACTCCTGCACGAAGCGGGTCCTCGTGTCCAATACTCACCTGCCGAATCTTCTTCATCAGCGCGGTCAGCAATTTTTTCTGCTGTTGAATGGAGAAGGTTAGCTTTCCTTCCGGTGGCTTCTCCGCGAAATCCAGCTCTGGAGGATCCTCTTTGGCATCCAGTTCTCGAGAAATCTGCATCGCTTTGCTGTCCCACGAAGATGGACTACTCGTCTTGTGGCAATTAATCTGCACTACCGCAGCCTGGTAAAAGCAATGAGCCTTTTTCATCCTTTTTGCCCGTTCCTCCTCGATTGCATTTCTTGTCCTCCTTCTCTCGCCCCTCGATGTGGGTCCTCGGTAACCCGAAACGCCGCACAGCTGGATTACAGCCACGAACGCGGACAGCCCGAATGCAGTCCGTTGCGGGCTGGCCTTCAGACTAGAGTGGAACAATCCTCGCATTATTTGTTTCCTTCCTACATGTCTAAAAAAAACTTTATCGCAGGCTTGCTGGTGCGAAGCTGATGGCACGAAACTCCTGAAAGGAAGTTAACTCGTCTTGTAAATACGCAAATACTAACACTGCAAAGAGAGTGTTGACGCTGATTGACTGCAAAGGTAATGTTGACATTGATTGTTTTTGCAAAAGATCTCCGAGAACTAAGGAACAGTGATTGTGATGTTATCATTGGGCTCATATTTATAAGTTATTGTAGCCGGGTCGTGTTTCAGATTTCAGATTTCGGGGGGGCCTCGCTTCAGCCTGGACTTTTTTTTTTGTATCCCAAGACCGCCGAAAGGGTGACCCCAGTTTTATCCAGTTCGCAAACCGGCGTTTTTAAGGATCTTTAGGGTTCTGCCGGTTCAGGGGGTTCTGTATAGATCTAGGATCCCAAATCTTTTATTGATGACTAGAATTGATGTTTTCGATCTTCTCTTGACTAAAATGTCATGTCATGGAACCGCATTTCACGTTATTGAAACGCATGCGAACAAAATAAGCTGAGTGACAATCTAATTCTGGAGATCTTACAGCACGTGAACAGAATAAAAGGTCAACTGATTGAAGACGAAGACATCTTCGATCATAATCCTATAATCTTTCCTTCTTCCGAGTCCGTTTAGCATCAATACAACGACGATCAAGACGACCCCAGCGTTCATACAAGAATCTTCCGCCCTTCTGCTAAGCAATAGTATTAGTATGACTGTACGTTGAAATAAACCATGAGCGGACCTCACATTATAAATTGATACTCCAATCTCACACTGGAGTAGATAATTGCAAATATTAATAGACAGAAATAAGAATTTTGATTGCATCAGAAATCAACATGATGAAATAGGAAAAACTGCAGATGATCAAAAACCGAGACAGATTCTTCCTTGTCTATGATCATAAGTACTCGAGCGCTTCTTACTCTTCTACAAGATAGATGAAGGAATTTAATAGCTCAATGTAATTGCACCAAGAAACCACTCTTTTCTACTTTTTGCCTACGAGTCAGTGCGATATGGAAGGGCACAAATTGGACGTCCCAAGCAGCGATATGGAAGGCACAAATGCAGCTTCGGAGCGAAGAACTGAGTGCTTTTACTACTCTAGGGGACAAATAACTTGAAATCCCTAAAAACAACTCACGTCGACGCTCTGAAAAATCCGCTCACGCCAGTCGGGATAGTTGCCGCTGTATTCGAAACCTGATTGTAGATAGAGCGACTGGCCTGCTCTGTGTTCGTTAGAAGATGAGGATGATAATGCTTAGATTATGGATCCTTCACATGAAAATGTTCTTGTAGAATCTTACAACAGTTTCAATTTGTGACATGGTACTTCTAGTAACTACGTACTTCTTCCTCGTCCACCTCATCTATCATCATAATAAGGATGAGGAAATTGTTTAGATGATTGTAGGCGCTTTCATTAGATAGTTACTAATCTATTCCTTGAGTAGAAGTGCAGCGACTTTCTTTCGTTTCTCTCATCTTAAAGTTGATTTGGGAAAGAAGAGGTCCTTCCACTGTCTTCTAACATACATATTCCTTCCACTGCCTTCTTCTAATATACATATTCCTTCCACTGTCTTCTAACATACCTATTGATTCCTTCCACTGTCTTCTAACATACCTATTGATTCCTTCCACTGTCTTCTAACGTACATATGCACCTCATCGTAACCTATTCCTTCCGGTGCCTAGCATGTCTTGGGTGATGTCCCACATGTCTCCGAGTCGACCGGCGGCTAAGTCTACGTCGTAGGAGAAGTGTAAATATTGCTTCCCCGGTCGAAAGGGCATGATGTTGCGTTAGAGCTCTCTACTGTGAGTCATCACTTAGTTGCATTTACCTTGAAAATTTGATATTTATGCTCGGGAAGCAAGAGCTGCATTTCGATATAATCTATACTAGAATAGATACTCCCCAAAAATACGGCAGCGTCATCAATACATCTCAAGAAATGGTCATCATTATACGGTAAAAATATGGGGGGGGTATTTACCTATAATACTCCCCCATACGACGTTTTAAGGACTAGCTAGCCGATTTTTATGGATCCAGTCAAAGATGAGTTAGCTAGTATAGCCTTAGCTGCATCCCTCGCGACGGCTGAGCAACGTCTGGCATTCCTCTTTCAGGAAATGGGATGTGGTTAGAGGGTGTTGATGTTGGGAGTGGGAGTGGCGGAAGTGGGAGGGACATTGAACTAAGCAAAAGAGTGGGAAGGTGGAAACGGAACAAAGTCTCTTCTGGACAGAACTAGTACCAGAAGGGCTTACTGTTACTACTAGACCTACAAAAGAAAAATGGTAACTAAATATTAATAAATGGTAACTAACAAGCAAGGAAGAGGAAGTGCCTTCATAATTATCGGAAATGTCATGTTTTTTGAATGACGAAGATGATCAAGAACGACTAGTACTCACCAAGAACAACATCGACATGTTGGAGACAACTGTATCACCTTAACTTCAACGTCTGCACTGGGTTCACGTTCTCGAAGTTGACGCCTAGTTTTTTCTCCAATTCGAAAAAGTTAACTCCCCGTTCTACTCTTGATTTTTTCCTTGAAAACACTGGCTCTGTTGAGCATTAGAGGAGGTCAGGCTCAACACCCCAATTATGTCCATCTCGAAGAAGGAAGCCTAGAATCGTCCTAAGACCTTTTTATTCCCCTTGCAAAGGAACGTCTCTCTAAGTCTATATAATTTATAAGATGCCTGTTTCGAGTATGGAGTACTGGGGATGAAGTAAGCCGTAAGATGACGAGAAAGCATCTCCTCCACCCACACCTCCAAGAGTGTGTCCTAGAAGGGTATTTCTTGCCTGCTGACTGAGCTCTTCGCCAATGTCAGCTTCGCTATCAAGTTTGGCGTGCTCCACTTCCCTAGGACGAATGCAGATCTCTAGGACGAAGAGGTAGAAAGCGGCTGCACCAAAGAAATATGCAACATATTCTAGAGCGGAGACTCCTTCCGGTGCGCTTTGGTCGGATGTTCCGCTGGTGGATGGAAGCTTAGAAGAGATGGATCAGACGGAATGCAAACAAGAACAAGAGCAGGACTGGGGAAGGAGAACAGGACAACGAGGACAAGTACTTGGCACTTGCCCTCATATGATATTAAACATGACTTCTGAACACGACTTTGTTCCAGGTGTACCCGAAAAAGTCGATCCAGTTGCTTGTATCAGAATGATAAGTCCTCGATTCTAGATCCAGTATCAGACACGGCATAAAAAAGTGAACAAAGATAAGCGTAACTCCATTTTCACCTGCCTCTTCCTGTAGTTTCTGCTGGACTCTAAAGGCGAACTCCGCTGCTCGCTGACGCCAGTATGGGATCGAGCCTGCTAGAAAGCCTATAATCAGCGCAAACATCTCGAAACTGATGATCGATAGCCGTGCACTCGAATAGAACGTCATCTTGCTGGACATCAGATGCAAGTACTTCTGCGAAAAATACATCCACACAGCCCAGATTATCAGGTTGTAGAACAGCAAGCACGTGAACCGTGGACACGACAAGTACGACATGAGGACGCAGCAAAGCGGTAGAGTGAAGTTTATCGCGTAATCCCAGGCCAGGGATTAGACCTTGTCCCCTCCGCAAGAATATGCAGCCAACCTATGACTAGAAAAGCAAAAAAAGGAAAGCTTGTAGATATAAAACAGCGTTTAGATGATAGATAGTAGTAGAGATGGATCATTACAAAAAGCCTGAATCATGGGGATGGATCATTACAAAAAGCCCTAAAGGTAGATCATCGGCGGTTCCCAATGCATTAGGGGAAGTATTAATAAGCCTTAAAGGTAGATCATCGGCGGTTCCAAATGCAACTCTACTTTCCTAAGCTCCATCACGCGAGCCGACCAAACGTCGTCCGTAAAGGGTATGAAGCTGTTGTACAACCGCAATAAACGTCGCAGCATGTACCCAGTGAGAGGCCATATGAAATACGGCATCAGAAACGTTCCGGGAACGAGAAGCTGTGTGTAGGGGAGATGGAGGCAAAGCGGTGGCGTCAAAGTGGCGAGCAAGAGACAGAGAGCGGAAGTGGAAGTGGAGTTCAACTTCAAGCTTCTTGCAAATGCCCTGACCATTTTGAAACTGAGTCTGAGGGCTATTTTTAACGTTTACGTTAAGTAAAAGTATTTACTTGTTCCTACTCTTACTCAAAAGAGTCTCCTTCTGGTAGATTGTCGTTGTAGAAGTACCTCGTACAATTGCTTTCCGAGATAAGTTTCTTCCCCAAGTGCATCCTTGTCCCGTATTTCCGCCTTTTCTCCCATGTAGACTTGTCCGAACACGATGTACACCGAAAAGGCGGTGTTCACGATGAAGATTAGACCTTCCGGGAGAATACATCTGGAAAGTCATCGGGGACCCGTTATTCCCCCTAACACGGGAGGTCCAAGATGCTTCTGGAGATGGATATGGATTTCCGGAAGTCTTAAGAAGAGAAACGAGTAGGAGACCATCACCACCAACCACTGCTGGAATCGGAAGCGAAACGGCAGTGCTACCGCGATGTACCAGAACATGAGTCCGACTACGCCGTTGCCACTGGAAAACAAAATACCCAAGATGGTCATCGACCATCCTTGAGGCACTGTGGCGCTATCCTGCAGCGAATTCAGCATGAAAATCACGGCTGGAGCATACATTAAGAAACCATAAAGGATGATCTGCACGACGAAACCCAGAGGGCCGTAGACCCAACTCTGCAGGAAGGTTTTCGAACTATCAAAACTGTCCCATAGAATATCACCAGGTTGCACGTGATCTCGTCTCACTGTCCAGTTAGCCAAGGATTGCTCCAAAAGTTGCCACGTTCGAGACTTATTCGTCGTTGTACTCGATGGTGCTGGTGCATTGCCGCGACTTGCAGCTTCTTTGGTTGCTGCTTGCAACGCTGCGACGCAAACGTCCACGTCATCCTCGTAATCGCAGAAGCAGTAGGCTACTCCACCACACTTTAGCTGTCTCAGTTCATCGCGGATCTCATCAGCTTGTTCACTCGTAAAGTCTGGCGCAACGAGACCTAAAGCTACGTATTTCGCCATCTCGGGATCCGATTCGCGACTAGCTGTGGCTTGGATTAGAGCTCAAACACTTCATTTTTTTCATCACCTGAAGTTCATTCATTCTACGCATTCCCAAAAAGGAAGCGAAAAAATAGGAAGCTGCGAGGAAATGTGACCTGTGGAAGTGGATACGTGACCCGCCGGCAGCTTCTCGGATAAACATGCAAGCTCTTCGTTCCCTTTCGGATAAGCATGGCATACATTACAACAACAAAAAAAATCTAAATCATGTCAAGCCTTAATTGAACTTCCTCTTCCTCGCTTTTGCTAATGAGTTCTCTTCCTTGCGGCGCTTGCGTCGTCGACCCATCGGCACTGTGCAAAGTGACCATTTCCGTTTCTTGTTGGGCTTTCAAGTATTGACTCTGCAGTTTTTTCCCAGTGGGCGACAGAAAACACAGGAAGTACTCCTGCAAGTAGAGCCAATTCCAAGGGAAGACGAAGTCCGTAATCTTCAGTTTAGTTGTTTCAGAAGAAGTCACAGCACTCGCAGCACGTGTCAACGCAAGCTCCTTTTCGTAGACTGAGCGCAAGATACCCCTGTCAGCTCTTGCCACCACTTTATCGCAAATCTCGTCGAGGGTTATTCTTAGACCACGAGCTATGAATGTATAATAACATAGACGCAACCAGAAGAACTGTACTTATTCCCTTTGTTGTAGTCGTGGCTTCCATCTCCACGCACTATGCTAATCACGAACGCCTCAGCACGGATAGTGGTGCAACTCCTGTTCTAGCACAGATATTTCAGCTGAAATAAGTCTTATATCGCTCATAACATCCCATTCTTCGGCAATTTTTTCAGCGAATCGAAATCGTGCGCGACAGAGGCACCAATGAACTTCGTACCGCATTTTTGGAGGAAAAACCTATTCACCTCATCCAATTCGAGAGGCTCACCCGTGGGTAAGCCGTCGACTGAAAAACAGTAGTCGCCCATATCGGCGTTTTTTGCATCGAATCTCCGCTCCTCTGCTGAAGGTTAGAAGGTGTACAACTAACGACCCTTGTTACAAGGGACCTTGTTGTAGCGGTTATTTTGCTAGTAACTTCTATCTGTTGTACCTTTTGGACATCAACTACTACGAAAAATTACCACTACGCACTAGATGATGCGAAAGCTAATCTATCATAGACTCGTCACTATACAACAAGGCCATCTTGTTCATTTTCATGATCTTCGCCTTCGCCGTATTTTTGTATCCACGCGAAGACCAAAACCGAGAGTAGGGTAAACAACGTGATGGCCCAGCTTGCGGTGCTCGCGTGCACTGCAAACTCGTAACGCTGCAACTCGAGCATCTTGAACATCCCATTTCTACTGGAAACCCCTGAGAACTTATCCAGTATTAGAAGAGCTCAGCAAGTCTGTTATCGTGAGCCTTAACAGCACCTTTGACCGAGAATACTGATGAATGGAACACAGTCGAGAATAATATTTTGCCTGCTGGCCGGCACTTCAGACTAGCCTACTGGTCCCGAGTGCAAAACTGAAATGTTAATGAACTTGCAGCACGAGAGAGGCCGCTACACAAGGGACCAAGAGGCTAAGTGTGAAGTGTGGACAAGAGAGGGAACTAGAGGTACGAGAGAGAGCGAACGAAGGTCAGGAATTAGAAATAGAATCATCGTGAGCCTTAACAGCACCTTAGAGAATACCGACTCTCCCTCATCGTGATGGGTACGTCGAAGCTGTCTCACGTGTGGTTCTTGTTGCTCGTAGCCCTCGTACAACATTCTCATTCGCTGACGAATGTCATACGGAGATGATGCAGATCCTGCGTGTGCTGCCAATTGCATAGCAAGATTCTTGCTTGGCGCCATTTGCATGCCACTGAGATCCCCAAGCGCCGGACATTGTTCGCGATACAGAGGAATAGTCGCAAACTGGGAGAAATGCGAAACCATGTCGGTGATCAGGTAGCACGTGCAGGCCCAGAAGCCGCCGATTAGCGCTGGGTCGTTCCATATGACACTTGATTATATTCAATTCCAAGCTACTTAAATAGAAACACGAAGGTTTTTGCGCTGGTGGGAGGTTCCATATCATGCAAACTCATCAAGTTTTTACCGAAATGGAGGGTAGATTAATCATCACTGTCCTCAGGCTGGACGTGGATATCCACGAGATCTGTGTATGCACAGGATCAAGATCTGTGTATTAAGTATGAAAATATTCGCAGGAGATGAATTACGTACTAATGGTAATTAGTTATAAGTACTTCATCTCGTAAGATGAACAAGAGCCAGTTGTAGTACATCGGGACGCCAACGCCACAGATGTAGTCCCTGTGCATGTTCGTACTGAAGTACTGTGGTACTTAGGCCTTCCCGGAATCCATCTTGAACGTCAACCTGGACCCGTTTCCCCCTCAGACGAAGGTCCAAGATGCGTCTTTGGACCCGTTTCCCCCTTAGACGAAGGTCCAAGAAGATGCTTTTCAAACTGGGAGACTTCCAGAAGTCATGCTTCTGAAGATGGAATTTCCGAAGTGAAGATGGACTTCCAGCAGTCTTAAGGTACTGAGCTAGTGACACTGGCGGAACCATCTTGATCCGAGATTTCCGTTCTCGTCACGACCGGACCACAACGCGAGATGTGCTTTTTAGCCGCTTCAAGAATCGCAGGTCTAGCGCATGGACGGAAGAGCTAGAGTTAGAGATAGGGTCTAACAGAAACAGATAGCCTCTAGCGGATGGTAGACGGAAGAGCTAGAGTTAGAGATAGGGTCTAACAGAAACAGATAGCCTCTAGCGGATGGTAGACTGACGGAAGAGCTTGAGTTAGAGGTAGGGTCTAACAGAAACAGATAGGGTCTAGCGGATGGTAGACGGAAGAGCTTGACTTAGAGCAGACATTAAAGAATCACATCTCTTTCCGACATCACTAAAGAGTAAAAGACCAGCAACTGCAAAACCTAAAACAAAAGGGCAACTGAGTCCTAATTCACGAGCGTGGACGGCAGGCAGATGATGACTGCGGCAAGGTTAGACCTCTACTCCCCAAGTCATCCATGCGGAATAAATCCCTCAGGAACTAAATGCGTCAGTGTCTCCCTTGTCTTGGGAGGCCTATGCTTGAGGGATTCCGATAGAGATGGATTAGAGGAAGCCTTAACAAAGATGAAGTAGGTAAAATAGCTAGCCGCATTTTCGTCAAGGGTGTAGGCGCACGAACCGTCTGGGGCAAGCCGATACGTTGGCTCATCGCACTGCGCACATTTGCCGTTGTCGGCACTGCACCTAGATGCAGGGAAGTTATTTCTCGATAAAGTTTCTCGATAAAGTACACATGATGTAGTTGTACCATCGCTGGCCCTTACCATTCTGGGCGTTGCAGTTGCGCCTAGAGATATATGCAAGTCTACTGCGTCTAGAAAATGCGACTCGTAGTACTATTCATCTTTCGACAATTGCATGCACTTGTACATGTGCTTGCACTCGCTGAAGATCATGATCACTAGTCAACCAAGATTACCTGACACATCCCAGCACTTGACATATTTCGCACACTTTCGCGTTGGGGTTCGGAAACTCAACACCCTTGAGACCAGCTTTGCAGCCATCATCTTTTACGCACTTTGCGAGACACGGAAAGTACTGCGATCGGTCCACGAAGGGGCAAGTTTTAGAGATATCGTTATTATCGAAGTGAATGGCCCCGGTATTTGCTAAACTGAATTCGATCACAAGGATTCTCTTCTTGTTTCCCTTATAATCAAAATCAGGCTACCGAATACCAGAACAATGCACTAAATTGGTTTGAGAGAGGACACAGACAGCGTCGCTGCAACTTCTTCTATTTACTTTTGTGGGTTCAGTGGAGTTTGTATGTAGTCATGGTTTCCTTATTGTAACTCATTGGAAGTGCATGATGTTGCTATAAAAACATTTCTTGAAATCAAGCACGATTTTGATTTGATGTCTAAAATTTCAGCCGTAAACTCACTAGGACAGAACGACACAAGCTCCGACTCCTCCTTGCATGTGTGTTGCGTCGGTACGTTGCAGCGAACATTGGCACCCTGGTCTTTGGAGAGAATAAATTAGATTGGTCTTACTTTGCTGGAGAGGATGAATTAGACTCTGGCCAGCCCCCTTATAAGTAAGTCTAATTTAGACATATTATGCACGATAACATAAGCAGCATGCTCGACTTGAGGTAACAGTGATCAAGCTCAAGAACTAACGTACTAAATCTAATTAAAACAACTTTTAACAACTGCATTCGCGATCATCTTTTAGCAACTGCGTGAGCCGCAAAGACGTCAAAGATGATGAGTCAGAATCTCTAGCCTTAAATGAACCCACAAGATTGTTTGGCCGTTGTACTTGTATCGGAGCCACTGGCAACAACTGCAGTTGTTCCGAGAAGAAGGAAAACCAGCCACATCTTCATCTGCACTTCTTCTAGTTCACCAGTTGAATTTCGAAAAATGGGTCATCACTGAAAAACGCTGTGCGAACTGATATCAGCTTCGGGAGTGGTCCTATCCAATTTTACAACTTCATCATCGCGCGTCTTTGGTGGTCATCTTCTATCACTGGCGCGACAAGATAGTTTTTTCACAGTGTGTCAAAAGAGACGGCCGTCAATAATTCATCTGTATCTGTTGACTGCTCAGGATTGCTCCTCTCAGCCTGTATTTACGAGGGACATCAGATACGTCCAGCTCGATATTAAGCATAGCCTCATCCTGCTCCTTGTTACCTACTTTTTATTTGTAAATGATATAAGATAATCTCTTATAATTGCCCGTGGAACTTCTCTGCAAAGTCCTGCTCCGGAATGCATATCAACTTTCGTTTTCCACTTCTCCCGATCATCATGGTCACTCACATTGTTATAAAAATCTAGATAACCACACTCACAATGTTATAACCACTCGCAATTTTCTAACTTCTCCGCATTTCTTCATCTTGAGAGATGAAGCTGCGCTTGACGTGTCTCAAAGGAGAAGCGGCCTTCCAAGAAGAAGCTTCCTCTCACCTCTTCTCTCACTCCCTCGTGCACGGTTCTCAAGCTTTCAGACTGTTCCATCTTCCAGCGTCCTTCACGACATCTTCTTCCAACAAGGTACTGGAACGAACCGCTGAACAACGAGTGCTCAGATTACTTAGCCATTGACGTAGCCGCTTGATTCATAAACTTGCTTGAAATTTTTTTTGCTGCTGATGTGTTGTGTAGTGGTAAGGAATTGACAGCAATGGGCTGGAGATCCGGCTGCGGACGAGGAGAATGCGCCGGGCCCAAATTTATGCACTACGGCAGACCCAGATGTGGGGGATCAAACGCCACACATCCCGCAAGCACTCCAACCGAAAGACCTATCGCGACGCAAGTCTTACGATACTTCGTGACGCAACGAACCGGAAAACCAAAGAAAAAAAACACAAGCCTCCTTACACTAATTACTGTCCATTTTCTGCTGTTTCAATTATTCGCTAAGCTTTACTTCTGTACTTAACTGGTTGCCTATGTCTTCAGTAGTGAGCTTTACAACACCTTTTCAACAATTCCACTGTCATGATAACATAAGGATAAGTTGCCTTCGTCTGTCAGATAGATTGCGTTTTGAATGGTGAATGGACTAGATTGGCGACCAAAACTTTGATGTGCTCAATCATTGAGACCGCACCATATTTAATTCAGCTTCCATTCCTTTCCGCTGTCATTACAAAAACAAAATCTAAAAGCATGACAGCCTTCGCTACTGAGTAGAGAAAACTGCCGGTCTAAGCTCCCGCCCAGAGCTCTTGGCGTAGTGAAGTACAATTTTAATCAGATGGACTACATTAACGGGAAGCCCGCTGGCCCATTTGCATACCAACCTGTATGCAAAACCGGGTAGGAATTTCTAGAAAACAAATGAACTAACTTGACTGCGGCCATGATCAGTCCTTACAGTGCTGCGCTCGCTTTAGTACTTATCTGCTGTCAAAACTTTCCGATCAGTTGCACCACGCAAAAACTGAAGCTATCCATGGCTGTCCTCTCTCGTGAGTAGAAAAACCAGACTGGCAGCCTGAGGCTGAGCTTTCATCGATATCGAAGTGCCATTGCACATAGTTGCTAATTCATTGTACGCATGAGCGCTGTTGTTCTGTAATTGAATGTAGTTTGCGGATTAGTTGAATTATGATAGTCACTGACTTGTTACACCAAGTCAACACAGTGCAAACCTGTATGGTCCTGCTTATGGTATAAATTTTTCGAACTGGGGCAGCTTTTCGGCCACGCATCCAACGAAAGACACGCTTAGAAAGAAGCCAAAGCCCGCAACCCCTCTAATCAGGCGCCAGCGTCATACTAACTTTATTGTCGTTGATGTAGTTTCGGAGTGAAGATTGATGTAGATAGTTTTCGTCTTTGTGGTAATGAAAGATGTTGCGTTTTTCGGATGAGATGATAAGTGTCTGATTCTAGTTTTAGTTTTCTTGTGAAGATGACAGTTCTACTTCTACGAATTCACATTCTTCAATCAGATCTTTTAATAACTGAGAGTGAGTGTTTGTTTACTGAGAATGAGAATGAGAAACATATCTTGTAAATATCTATCTAGATCTGCACTGAATAACTTCAAAATCAAACAAGAAGTGCCCTAGTCATTACTTAGGCTGACAAGTGACATAAAGGCTAGCTGTGTGCTTCATCATATTAGATTATAGAAAGAAGGCCAGCTTTGGGTCGAGAGATCGTGTGGCTTGTTGTAAATACGTAACAAGGGAACGAACTTGGTGCCCACTGCCCTAATCAGTGTGCCACTTGTCTATCTAAGTCTAATCATATTCATTTTCTTCAGAGGTCAGTCCCGTCATGCGGTGTGCTGCAATCTGATCTGCTGCATTTCAGTTTCAGTATGTATATGATGCATCTAACAATATCGAGGAGCTGTAGTGGGTATCCTCTATTTCTTCTAGATGATACAGAATATTACAGGGCTGGCGGGCCTCTAGTTGTCGTCGTTGATATAGTCACTTTCTTGTTGACTCTGGTAGAGTTTTGTCATTTGGAGAGATGTTGCATTTGAGGGCTGAGCTTCATCAAACGTTATTGTTCGTTGCTGGTGTAGTTTGATTGGGAATGGTCATAGTTATCGTCTTTGTCGTGATGTTGCATTTTTCGGATCATGAGACACTTGAGTCGTTCTAGTTCAGGTTTTAGTTCTAATAACCGTTTTCTTGTCGTGATCTTCCACTTCAGTTCGCAAATGTTTATATAGATACAAATCAACATATTCAAACAGATCTGGCAACTGTTGAGAGAAGTGCTATGCGTTACTCCTTTACTGGTCAAACAATGCTTCCGACTTCTATGAAAGATAACATAGAACCACTCCCCTTCCCGAGTTCTAAGTATAACTTGTTTCCGAGCAGTGCAGGAGAATGGACGCAACTCCCTTTCCAAGATCTAGGTTCTTCTTTTCTATGTAAATGGGCATGGAAGTGATTCGCTTTTCACAGAGATTCCAAAATTTTTTTGTTTTCCAGCTTCTAGTAGTGCATGAACATAAATACTGAATGTTGTGAAGAATGGTATGGGTATGGCTATGGATACTACTATCACCAGCTCTACAATCAGTTGTACTATGACTTAGTTTTTTCCACAGCAAGAACTGCCACCAGCCCCTTTGGCATTCACCCCCTGATTGTCTAGATCATCCCCGTTGTTGTTAGCATCGCCCACATTAGTGGCAATATCTCCCGCTTTAGTGCGAGGACCTGTTTCCTCCGTTCCAGGGCCTTGCACATCGGTGTTAGGATCTGAGCCCTCCTGATTCACGCTAGTATCTTGTACCCCCTGACTCAGGTTAAGATCTGAACCCTGACCCACCGCATCCTCCATCCCAGTGGTCCTATGAACCATTCCCGCACTTGCAGAGCTTCTAGACGATTCAGCGTCTAATTGCTTCCGCTCACCCTGAATGTTGCCCTTAGTGCTAGTGCCAGAAGATCCCTGACTGCTAGATGCCTGAGGAGCTTTCGGTTGGGCAGATGCGCGAGCATGCTCAGCACCTTGGGTCGTCGGCGTCCTGCTTGTTTTTCCTGGATTATTTGCAGTTTGTGTTCTATGGTGGAAGAGGAGTTGCTTCCGTCACTCAGATCCATCAAAGAGCGTAAGTTTTAGGGTTACACGTATCGTTGACCAGCATCAAATTGAGTATTGCTCACGACCCACAGCCACAGTGCCCAAAGCTGTATCTAGTATACTTCTTCTGTCGCGCAGATGGACACCTGGACAGGCGGACTTCTGGACAGCACGCAAGAAAGGTGGACAGAAAACAACAATACCTACGACGCAAACTAAAACTGGAGACGAAATGTATGAAATATGTTCCAGGGCTCCAGCTTAGGTAGAGGCGTAAGACCTGGCGAGCGCCGTATAGGCCGCAGGCCTGAAGCCGTTCCCCTTTCCCCCTATAAAAGCGAGCTAGGCAAGCTTGCTCGCCCCTTTTGCGTGACGCGCGCGAAAAGCGTGACTGACGCGCCACGCGCAGATGGCGCAGAGGTAGCCTGGGGAGCGTGACTAGCCACCGCAATCTATATCACTATGCACAAGAACGAAACAGAAGCGAAGCCCACCAGTGGACGACGGTAAGAGAGACAACACGGAGAGAAGCCTGCCGCCGACTACAGCAGTAGCGGTAGGTCATCTGCGTCTATGATCTTAAGGAATCGGGCGGGCGGCATTGTTCCAGTGAGTATATCTTAGGGAAGCCAGTGCCAGCTGCAGCCAGACGACAGTAGGAAGGACGGATCTGAGACAAGCCCGCGGGTAGCCGTATGACCTGACACAAGCCCAGAGGCAGCCGCCCAGCCCGTCGTAGGCAAGCCCGTGGACAGCCGTCCGATCTGGCTCAGATCGTGGACAGCCAAACGACCAGAGACAAGTCAGCAGACGGACATACGATCCGACACAAGCCAGCGGACAGCCATACGATCTGAGACAAGCCAGCGGGCGGCCGTACTATGACCTGAGCGAGGCAAGCCCTCCAGCGGCCGTATGATCTGACACAAGCGCGGGGACAGCGGTCCGACCTGGGGCACGCCCGTGGACAGCCGTCCGGATGTCTGAGAGAGACAAGCCCGCAGACAGCCATACGAGCCGAGACAAGGAAGCCCGTAGGCGGCCGCATGGTCTGAGAGATGCCAATGGGCGGCCGGCCGTAGCGTATGAACTGAGCAAGGAAGCCCTTTGCCGACCATATGACCTGAGCCCAGCCCGCGGGCGACTATATTACGCGATCGACCTGAGACAAGTAGCCAACGGGCGCCCGCATGATCTGAGACAAGCCCACAGGCAGCCGTAGAAATGATCTGAGACAAGCCCGCAGACAGCCGCCCGACCTGAGACAAGCCACCAAAAGCCCAGAGGCAATGCCTGGCGGCCTCTCCATGGGTAGCGAGACACATGCACACCACGCCACGCCCTCGCAGGCGCCTCAGCTCACCTACCACACAGACAGCACACTCACCGCCGCACCCTCGCGCCGTCTCACGTCACACCATCACACGCCACGCCGCCACACACCGCGGCACCACATCACGCCACCACGTGCGTCCGCAAGCACTAGCACACCACGCACCACGCCGCCCCGCGTCTTCGTTCCCGCGCCCCGCCGCCACGCGTCACGCTGATGTCCCCTCGCGCGTCACGCTCCTTAACGCGTCACGCCCGAAACCCCTCACCCATCACACTCCCCCGCGCGTCACGCCGGTGCCCCTTCGCGCGTCACGCTCCTCAGTTGGATACGGCTGGCATAGGGTTTCGGGGGGCCTCCTTCCCGCCTCCTGGCACATAGATTTATAATAGAACAGTTTATATATAAGGTTTCCGGGGGCCGGTTGGCATGGCACGAATGGAACGGTTGGAACGAATGGCAGGCATCCAATCCGGGGCTTCAATGTGCTCCGCCATTCGTGCCATTCGTGGACCTTTCAGACCTTCGAGAGCGGGGCGCCCTTCGGGCGCCCTGCGTTTTCAAGCGGTACCGCCCCCGCGGCGTTACCGCTCTCTCCGAATGCTGCGCACATACTTTGGGACTCCCACTCGGGCGCCCTGCGACCAATCTGCCACACCCTCCACGGCGTTGCGCTTCAGTAGGCTCCCCAAACCCGGCGCCCTTCGGGCGCGTTGCTTTTGCTCCAGCCCTCCTCTGCCACCCGCGATTCAAAGCTGCCACGCATCCGACCCGCCCCCCAAGCCACGGCCCACCTCCGTCGCCGCTCTCCCACGGCGGCGGCGCGGTGGATCAGCTGAGCACCCTAGGGCGGAGGCCGCGTGCTAAATCACCCGCCTCGTCGCAGCATTCCTCTCGTGGAATTCCGCGGGGGTCATCTCATGCAAGTCCACCAGAATTTGCGTGGCCCGCGCGGTAGTTCCAAGAAAGAAGCCAGCCCTCCGACGGTCAGCCGCACTAGGATCCGCACTCTTGAGAGAGCAGCCGAGTCGGCTTTGTTTCTGGCTAGCTCCCTTACCATTTTCAAAATGGCAGGGGGGCTTTCCGTAGAATTGCAGCCCTGCCTTCGAATCCCCCTCCCTGTCCGCTTATGCCAACGCCAACCGCGCCACTCGTGGCACTTTTTGGCTTCGTTGGGTTGTTCCAACCGTGTCATTCGTGCCAACCGTGCCAACCGCCGTTCGTGTTATAAACTGTTCTATTATAAGGCGAGGACGAAGCGCGAGGCGCAAAAGTGGGCCTGGGCGTGGAGTGGAGCGCGCGGGCTAAGCGGAGAGCGCAACTGCGCGCCAGCTGGAAGCACACAAAATAAGCTGAACTTGCGCCGGGCATTACAGTCAGACAACCGGACTGCTCACTCTACAGGGACGCGGAAAAAGCGGGCCAAGCTTATCCCAATGCATGGTATGTTGATGCGCAAACGCCCAGTTCAAAAAACTAATCAGTACCAGAAGCCGAATGCTTTTGGATTATCTCATCGAAGTTCTTCAGCTCCCTCAAAAACGGCCGCCAGCTTGCATCGGGCACGTGCCTCTCCATATTGGTGAACTGGAGCTCGAGCTTTTGCAGCTCCTCTGGTTGTTGTTAGAGCTCCTCAATGTCGACAGTGATATAACGTAACCTATTGCGTCTACTGTTGAGGCCTTTAGTCCAATATTCCGAAATCGGCTTGCGTACATAGGTGAAGCAGGAAGCAAGCCGTTGGAAATACTGAAGTATAGTTCGAATTTCTTATTTAATTATAATCGAGGGTCTTAACTATAAGTCTTCTGCAATTCTTTAAACTTCGCTTCTGCCTGTTTAAGTTTCTCTTCCGCCCACGGCTTGAACTTCCTATCGACATCGACCCGGATTTTCTCCACCGCAGCAGCCGTCTCATCCTCTACCTTCTTCATCAAGTCGTCTACCTCTTTCCTGAATTCGGAGAGTCGGAATTATTAGAGCCAGTAGGTATTACAACAGATCCATAATAATTAGGTTGTAATATACAACAGATGCAATTATTTGAGACATGTTTAGGTCGTAGTTTAGACATCAGAGAGATACCGCGACGCCGTCACTGCAGGAAAAAACGCAGATCATGCAGGTCCACGGCGAAGTAAATGATTCAAAGTGGAAATTATCAAATCAACTACCAATCATCTGCGACCCGCAGTCCGGAGTCTGTCTGTCAGTAGCTTCAACAATGTTCATACGCGCTCATCATGTTGATGCTCGACAGTGCCTACTAGTAGAAGTCGACGCTATGCATCTTTCTATTCATAATTTGGAGACTTCTGTGCTCTCTCCACACTGTGCTTGGCGCTGTCGACAGCTTCATTGCCTCTCCTGATGGTCTCATCCAGGGTTTTGCGGGTTTCCGCCAATCCGAGCTGTGAAAGCGGGACCACGTCGCTCTCATTTGTGAGCACGGCTTCAATATTGCCCACAAGGTAACCAGTGAGCACTTGGTGTTCGCCTCGTCTCTCAGCCACCTCCTTACGGAAATTCTCCACTTTTTTTTTCCGCAATACTGGATTAAGGAGGAACAGGAAAGTCTTCTTTAATCTTACTTGCAATGTTAGACAGAAGTTGAAGTTGACACTGCCTGAAATACTGAGCATGTAGATCTTCAGCTTCACTCCAATGCGTCACTTCTAATTAGGTCGTACAGTCATTCTCTTCAGGAGAGCAGAAAGAGGAGGAGGATTAATCCATTTAGGTACGGTCTTCCCCATGTGGCGTCAGCGAGCAGCATTCGACCGTCGTGATTCTCACGGGAGAAAAGTGGCTTCCTGTGACGCCATTTTTAAAAACGCAGCTGTCCTGACGTTGCTTCGCACACAACTCCGGGTCCGGCAAGTTAGAGGGTCTACAACTCCAATACATATTTATACATATTTATATTACACATAGCGCCTTATCACCTACTCTCGTGCCGATAACTCAACTGCTCTAAAATTCAGTTATGCCTGACATGTGCGACTGGCTAGGAGCAGAGGTTCTTCGTTATGGGTTAAGAAAAAGTCAAGGATCATTTACTTACATAAAATTGCTCCTTAATGATGTCTTTGCAAGATTCATCTGGGGAATTTCTGCGAATGAACGCCTCGTGGCTTTTTTCCCAACACCACTGCGTCGCTTCGGACCTGGACGCACTTTCGTCTCGCACGCATGAACTTTTATCGGGTCCATCTTTGCATACAGCATCACCTGATTAGTTGTTCCAGAGTAGAGAGTATATTCAAATCATTATACGGAAAAGAGAGTTGAGTCTTGTTTTATCTGACGGGTTCCCACTTCTTGCTAGAGAAATGAAAATCATCTGCTAACATTAATCATGAAAAGAGTTAATAAATGATTGCTCTTGTTGCCAAGTCAGCTGCTGAAACTTGTATGAAAAAACCATCATTCCCTTCTGCCTCGAGGAAGATGCTTTCGCTGCTTGGTGCCGAGGATTGCTTAGCGCGCGCCTCATGAGAGCGGATCATTGGGCATTGAGGCCAGCCTAGGATCATGAAAGTAAAGCTGGAGGATGATGATTCATTGAAGATGGAAAAGCATTTTTGTTTTTCATTCTGAGAAATGTACAGCACGTCGCAAGTTCCAAGAACTACATGATGCACAACACCTCGCATATTACCTGCTATTTTATAAACTGAGCTAGCAACTGTCATACTGTTGGCCAAGGTCATAGTCATGAAATGTCACAAAGATCAGACGCATGAAGATCACCAAAATGACCAAGATCGCCAGGCGAACAAGGTACCCACCGGCACCACTTTCAACGCGTTGGCCTTAGTTGGCGCGGGTGTCGGCGGTTTCTCCTCTCGCTCTCGTATGTGGCTCAAGCCCCCAACACAGTCAAGGACAAAACAACACCGGAATGATCTCAAAGATAACCTACAGACCTAAATGCATATGGTTCCAAAATCAACGATCAACAGGCAAAGGACCTTCAACGTATTCAGATAGAAGAAATGATGAATGTTTCATAGCTGTAGCCAGGTCCATAACGTCTTGTCAATTCTGATCAATGATGAATGCCAGTGCATGATGATCGTATGAGTCAACGATGATAGCATAAGCGTTTCCATATGAAAGCTCCCCACGCAACACGATATCCCAATGATGAAGCTGAGACTTCCTCCTTGCAACCCCAATGAACATCCACAGGGATCAAAGCAGCCAGAGATCATTAGTCTCAGGCTGTGAGTGCAAATTGTGCAAACTTTACCACTCTCGAGTGTTTCTCACCGAGAAACTAGACGCGACTTAACAGTCTGTGTTCGAATGGTCCAACACATACACACAGGCAACCTTAGTACCTGTGCCTGTGGTCGCCGAGAAGAATTGTGGTGTGCCGCGAAAAGAAGGACACGTGCCCGAAGGAGCAGAGGACCACGTATGACCGAGAAGAATAAAGTAGATGACCATCGATACTCCAGCAAGTAGAGCTGCAGCCAACAAAATTGCGAATCTCGAAAATTGCCAAGAACCAGAGTGGTTTTTCTCAACGAGAATAAACTCGCGACCAGAATTTTCGTCCTGCAGCTGCTTGCTTCTCGTTGGAAAAAAATTAGCGCAATCATGAATAAATATACACAACCATAGCCAGTCATGGTATCTGATACATACTGATGTGTTTCTCCGGAATGCCTTGCCTGTTATTAACTCGTATATTTCACTAGTTATTTCTGCTCTATCCGACCTTAACAAACAGACCGCTTTTCGCTTGATCACGCTCGACCGCCCCATAAGATGCAGCTTGCTTACTCCCAGTCTGGGAGAGCGGGTCTTTCTCGCTCTTCGCGTGCTTTTCAGCAGATGCCATTTTGGTTTTGCTGTTGTAGAAGTGCCTCCTGGTTCTTTATATCTAGGTAGGAGGTTCTTTCTGTTTCTTGATCTTGTCTCTGTATCGTCCTCGGATAAACGAAGAGAGTGAGAGGTGATGAACTACTAACTAATAGTACAGCCTAAAAGCGTCAATGTTGAGAGTCGTGATGTGTATGTGACACTTGAGCTTGAGACTTCACCTCTAAATCAGATGAGAGCAACTCCCGATTACTTACGGCTTAATTCTGTATTGTGTTGTATGGTAAATGCATAGCCGAGAAGGGGTGTGAGGGAATGGTGCAGGATGGTGTTGATGGAGGTTGGACCCTACTTATCGTCTTTCAGGTGTTCGGATGTGGAGGATGCACTCTGTTTACTCTCGTCGACGTTTTTGCGGATGGCATGAGACAGACAACACCGACGCCATGTGCGCACCGACTTTATCCATTAAGATGCCTGACTGTGACTGCTTTCTATTTTGCTTTTGTGTCTTACGGCTGTGGGTCTTCTAACAGATATTTGAGCTTGGCTGCAGCTTGACGACTCGTCCTCGTCTCTCATTTCTCGATACAAGTTTCTCGAAGCAGTGCTGGAACACACGTTAGGTCTAGACAGGTCTCTCGTACTCGTACTTATACTATCGTATTCGTATCTGTCTTCTACTATCTGATAGTCCTTGAGCAAGTACATCCTTCATAGGTAGAATGCTGCATGAAAATGAAAAACGCGCATTACCTGGACTAAGAAATTAAAATTTCGAAAAAAATCTTCGAGCTCCAGTTTGGGGGGGACTCGGTCTAGCCAGGACGCTAGGCGCGACAGCTTTACGAGAAGTAGACTGTATTCCTCTGGTATTTGGTAAGAACCTGATTTGGATCACAAGGGAAAACAAGGCGAGAATCATTTTGGTCAAATTCAGGTTACCAAATACGCCGGAACCATTCATGGATAGAGTTTGCTCACTCTTGTTGCTGCGAATGAAAACACTTCGATTTCACGGGCAGTACATGTATATTGCGATGGATTGATAGAGCAGAAAAACTGGAAGAGTGATCGATTTTCATCTTACAGGAATAGGTCACCAGTCAGGTTGGAAACGAAAATGCGTGAGCTCATATGGCTGTTGAAACCAAAATTTTTTTACACCACCGCTACTTTCCACGTAACGAAGCGTATCTATTGAGTGATCCTCTATCATTTGAATAATGGTGACACACTGATCGAGGAGTCTGAGAAATAAATTAATTGGTTCACAAAAAAACTTCTTCATGTTCACAAAATAAAATTTGAAATGCACATGAGCTTGTGCTATCCAAGTCATTGATATGGGATACGCTGATTGAAAAAGCGTCGAGCGAAATTCATTTGGACCGCCTGGTTACTTTGAAGATTCAGAAACTCAATCTATCAAGCTCGGTAAAAAGTTTCGACCACCTCATCTTCTACGTAATGTAGTACTGTTTATGTATTCCCTAGCGAGTGTTAGACATTAGATTCATAAAATAAAATGCCTCCAAGTCAGTTCTTCAAATCAATGCGGTTGTGTCAGAGAACCAACCTGATAAGAATCACAGGTACTACTTTATTCCCCCTCAACTAAAATAGAAGTACTCTATCTCTCCTCAAATAAATTCCTGCAACAGAAGTTCCTTACTAGTTACTTCTATTCTTCAGGTATATACGCACTTCCGGCATCAGGATCTGCTAACGCAACACCACGTGCAGACATAGCAGCAGCATCGAGATCCTGCATAATGTCTAGACCTGAACTTACTTGCCGCTGCAACATACCGGGGGGATAGGCTCCTCCGCGGGGTGTAGTTGTAGCAGCTGTTCTGGGTGTCGGAGTTAGAAGATGACACCTTTTCTTAGCACTTCTTTGAACACGATGAATTGACCTTTTTATTAGAGTTTTGATTTTCAATTTAAATCGGAGATTGATCGATATTTATACTAATTATAAAGACAAATGCCGCAGACGCAGCTACTACTACCATTATATCCAGATGAAGCTTTCAAAAATACTAACTCGATCCCATCAACCCTTTCCTTGAGCCAAAAAATACTAATTGTTAATCTTTACGATATACAACAAGTCTTAAGGTAATTCCAGCGCCGGCTGCTCCACCGACAGGCATAGAGGGCGTTCGTAAGCCTGCTAAAGCAACTTCTTGCTCCGCCACAGCACCGGTAGTCCTAACACCAGTTGTGCTGTTCTGATAGTATTGTTCGTGTTGAAGAGTACCTCGACCAGCTGTGGACGCCATAGCAGGAGCTGAACTAGTATGGAGCGTAGTAGTAGTGTATATATTGTTGCTACTAGGTCTATTCGTGTTCTTGAGAACTGATGAAGTCCGATTGTAGTTCAGCATTCCTCCATCAGCATTCCTCTGTGATGAAGTTGCGATACTTGTCGTCGGACGCAAGTTTCCAAAGCCGATTTTCATCGGAGGTCCCAACAACGAACCGGTGCTACCGCCAGCAGGCTGACAAGATCAACAATATCATCATATTTATGGGAATAAAGTATGCCCGTAAGTAGTTCTCCTGAGCTGTCCTTTATAAGATCTTTTACTAGATGTCTACTTGAATTAGCTGCACCTGCAGAGCTCAAATGTCAAAAACTTGCAAAATGAGTACCCTACTTGGGCTTTCATTTGCCGAGAGCATCGACCCGCTAGAAGAGATCCTCATCATTCCATGGCTCATTCCGTTAGGCCCAGCACTAGTCATGGAAGGTCGAAAGTTCAGCATTGGTTGCTGCAGCGTGAAAACACCCGCTGTCATTTGAGCAGGACCCGACGCTCTAGAAGTCCCTGCGGTAGGTACTCCTCCAGATGTTCTTCTTGCTTCAAATGACGATGAGTTGCTACTTACTGTTGCACCGAAAGCAGATAACTGATGAAGCTGCGATGGATTGATAGAGCAGCCTTGATGTCGTTCTCCTCCTACATTTCGCGTCATAATTGATGAAGATATTGGAATCTGACCTGAAGATGATATTGGAATCTGAGTTCCTGCTCCGACGAGAGTACTAGAAGTATTAGACTTGTCAAATGGGTCCTCGTCATCACTAGCCTCCATATTCTGCGTGACACGTGTCTCCACACCCGACGGAGAGTCGATGTTGTGCGCTTTGAAGCCGACGCTGCCGTCTCGATCTTGTTCTTGGGCTAATACAGTAGAAGGGTCAGCAGTACAGCAGGCTGAAAAGAAATCTTAGAGCTGCCACGACGTGGTGCCATCAGTTCCTTCATGAGTCCTTTCCTGCTGGTCTTTCTACATGAGCATAGGGATGAACAACACGAAGTAGCGAAGATAGCCATAACACTGAGAATAAGCTGCGCTTGCTGTGGTGTCTCCCTCCACAAGGTGGCCTCTCTCCCCTTGTTCAGCCTCCCTCAGCCTATGTCTAGCTTTGGCGTCGCGGGTAACGTTACCTTCAGTCATCACACGACCTGGCTTTACTTCAGTTCTTACGCTTCCACCCCCACCTTGTTTCCTCATCCCGCGTGGTGAAGTCGGGTCTGCTTCGCCTGCAATGCACGCATTAAACAAGCCTTGAGTTAAAGGTTGATAAAACATTTGTTCACTTTTCATCGAGAGGAATGATTATGGTAAGGAACAACAACAAAAGCAGGTAATGAAGATGATGATAGGACTAAGTAGATTAAGATTATAGATACTATGTATAGGTCGTTAAGTTACCGCACCCCTGCACTAGTTCATTTGATCTTATAAACAAATAGGAATTGGCGGAGGTGGAGGAAGAAGAGGGCTTTTTGTAAAAATGAAATGTTTCAACGCTTAATTGAATCAACCCACCAGCTAGAAGATTTGCACGTCGGTCTTTGCTCGCTTGTCTTTGCCTTGGAAACCGAGACTCTAAGTTCGGATCTGCTACTAGAGCCTCGTCTCTGTAGAACCAGTGATCGGCGTGTGGTATCTCAAATTGTCCCGCTAATCGACCAGTCTCAGGCTCAAACCTGTCTGGCCAATGCTCGTATTCACCATTAGAGGATGAGACATTTCATATTTGAATAGCACTACTGAATGCAAATAAGTCCTGTAGAAATGAAATGGTTCAATCCAACATAACACCAAGGAAGACTCGGAAAAGGGGATGGTAGTAGGCGTTGCCGACGACTTTGAGAATATGCTCTCTCAAGTACGCCAGGGACCGCCAACCAGACCCGTAGACCTGCTTGAGCGCCTCATACTCATCCATGATCGTCTCCCGAGGCACACGCTCGTAATCTGTGCGGTTTCGGTCACGTCTTTCCCGCAGAACCCTCGATGCTTTCAATGACCCGACAAATGTCAGAATGAGACAAAAAACGAAGCCGAGAATGGCCACAGTGATTAGAGCTCACCCCCATCTCCGTTTTAAGACGGTGCGTCTTGATACTCCTTGCTCCTTGTGGAACAGCTCTTCCAAGAAAGATGTACTATCTGAAGATGGAACACTAGGGGGAGCCTTAAAGTGGGTGCAATTTCCATACAGGAGGCAAGAAATGAGTCCATATCCGCGACCATCTCCTTCTCAACCCTATTAACGCGAGATTGTTCTTCACTAGAATCAGAATCAGATGCAGGACCGCCAAAAAGCGAAGATGACCACGAACTACTAGTAGTTGTGGTATCTCCTCCTGTAGAAGAAGTAGTTGACAAAGATCGTCCTGCAGCTTGCCTTGCTGCTTCTTGCAATAGAGTACTACTTCTGGTGATCGTAGTATGAGACGAAGAGCTTCCTGCTCTTATGGTCTCAAATCCCGGGACCTTTTTGGTCGTTTCTGTAAGTAGGAAAAGTTACACATATAAGGTTCTGCGGAGTCTACGGAAGATCTACGGAACCAAAGAAGCCGCTCGCACTAACACCAAGAGTCTCTCTCTGTCTCAGTCACACAAACACTCTCACAAAAAAAGCGGCAGCAAGCACAAGCCGGCTGAAGACCTACCAAAGCCAATGAATGACCCTCCTCACGACAAGGGGCTTCAGACCTACCAAACCCAATTCCCTCCTGAGCAAAGGCGTCCCACTGCTGGCTCTCCACCAAAAACCACAAGCCAGTGGTCACTCCACGGCTTCTGAGAACACTCCGCCCCACATTGTCTAGGCCGGGGAAAGCCTGCCTCGATGTTCCAAGCCTAAGCGCTACGCGAGTCGAATTGAATGAAACTGTCTGACGACCTACCAAAACCAAGCGAGCGACCCCTCCGCGAAACGAATGGCGCAGCCGGGGTGCGTAGTCATGAGAAAGAAGAAGAACCAGCGAAAGCGACAACACCGATGAGCAGCCGACACTCACTGCGCAGACGCAGGGGTGGAGGTCATATCCCTTGCTGCTTGACGAAAGCCCAGCATATTCGGCAACGCTTCAAGTCGCTCCGCTATTGACTAGAACACACTGCCCCACATTGTCTAGGCTGGGGAAAGCCTGTCTCGATGTTCCAAGCCTAAGCGCTACGCGCCAACCCATCCACTCAGAGAGGCCTTTGACTAGAACACACTGCCCCACATTGTCTAGGCCGGGGAAAGCCTGTCTCGATGTTCCAAGCCTAAGCGCTACGCGCCAACTCATCCACTCAGAGAGGCCTCTGACCATCCACATCCACAGCGCGACGCGCACACGCTTCAAGACATTCCTAGTGCTCTCCTTCTAAAGACAGTCTGCCACTCTATCACTCCGTCAGACAGTCAGACAACAAGAATAACAGATCGAAGGCGACAATGCTAAGCAAGACAAAACGCAACGACCGACCGTCTGCGAGCTTAACATGGATAAAATCCGCCCACTCTCTCAAGACAACCTACTACGAAACGCGCGACGAAATCACACGGCGCAACAGACTCTGTCGCTCGCAAACTGAGCCTGGGGCCGATAATCTCTCTACACCGAGCACGCACGAAGAAGCCTAGACCTGGAGTTGCAAACAGAAGGCGCCCACGCTCTGGCCCTGGACAGAATGAATGCACGGAGGGCGAAGCGACTGCGATGAACTTCAGACACCACCGGCGGCCTATTAGTCACCCGCCCACGCATAGTGATACACCAGGGGCGGCCTATTAGTCTTGCGCCGTGACTGCGCGACCCCTAGTCTGAAGAAGTGCAAAAAGTGCGAAGCTGTTG